TGTATATGATGGCATGCCAAAATGCTGGCATTGATCAAATGCAGGTCTTGAGATGGATTCCTTCAGTGCAGCAGGATGTTAAAGCATATTTTGATGCCGTTAAAAGCTGATAAGAGCATAGAATATAGGCTCTTACAATAATTGCACACTGTATAAATGTGAGAGACTGAGATTGAGGCTTTAGTACCTCAGTCAGTCAGTAAATAGGCAGTTATCAGCTAGTACACACACTTGTAGCTATTGTGCAGCAATCAATCAGTGAGATTTCTGGTGATCCAGATTTTGGGAAGTCATGTTTTGACACTGCAGGTATGGCATTATCATGCAATCTAAAGTGAAACAGAAAGCCCGTACTAATATTGTGTGAGACTGCAGAGAGAGTGCCAGGCTTGCGATAGGTATCGACATGTGGATTGGGCAGTTGTAGTTGCTTGAGTGTGGTGACTATAATGGCCATAATTGTGACATGGCATCACACAGTGTTAAGGTCTATGGAAAATATGATAATAACATACCAACACTTGCTGATGATCAAATGTGGATATCAGTTCCAATGTTTAGCTCATTTTATACACACTGGTGATGTCATTACAAACTCACAACCACCTAGCAATCACTTCACAATGATTGTTCAGCTTGCCAGGCTCTTCTAGCCTCACTGTCGCCACTAACACAGTCAATATATCCAATCTAGTAAGAATATTGTGGTGTGACTAGACAACAGAGTGTATGGTGATAATGGTAAACAGGTGAGATGAGGGCTGTAAGACTTAGTGTTTTGGAGTTGCTGTCAAAGTTGAATTGTGGAAATATCTGGAGTCCAGACCAAAATTTCTCAGCTCATCCGTACCTCGTGCTGAATGACACAGGATGATCTGGATGTGTCTGAACATGCTGAATGTGCTGGATAACTGCTGGACACAGTGTCCAGCATTTACAGATAGTGTCCAGTACTCCAGTGCTTCCAGATGGTTTAGGAAATTGCTGATGTACTGCCTCAGATTTATGGTGGTAAAGCCAAGGCTTGATGTTATAGGATGCTTCCTCAATGAGATTGAAGTCCAGAGAGTGTGGCAGAATATAAATGAGCTTCGCACCTAGACAGTATGCATTGCAAGAGTTCTCCACTGTGACTTATTCTGTCGTGACTGATTCAGTACTGATATGGCATTAATTTGTATGGGACAAACACACATCTGCAGATTGGCCTGCAAAGCACTGTATATGGGTGAGGTCACATTTTTTTGTTCATGCAAACACTATGTGTAGTGATGTGTGGGCCGGGCCTTAAAGCCTGCAAGCCTGCCAAGCCCGGCCCAAAAAGCCTGGCCCGAGTCAAGCCTGGCAGTGGGCTCAAGGCCAGGCTCGAAGTGTAGTCAAGCCCAAGCCTGGCCCCAAAGCCCAGGCTTGGGTGTGCTGACTCCATTACTATTCTCCAAATTCAGAATAAAGAGAGAGCAACTTAATATGTACATACAAGACAAAATGTAGATATTCCAGACTTAACGGCTTTTGCCGAGCACGATTGTGCGTCACCATCTGGTGTCTGCCGTAGGCGCGTGCTCGCGGACTCCGCTGCGACTTGACTTGTTCCGCAGGTGTAAGTCATCTGGAGGTTATAATTTAGTGAGTACGTGCAGTAGTAATCTACTACACCCAATTATATTCTCTTTTGATAGCACCGGAACACTTGTTGTATTGTGAGCAAGCCCGGGCTTAAGCCCACGGCTTGGGCCGGGTTCGGGCTCGGGCTCGGCTCGACGTCGCCACAAGCCCAAGACCGGGCTTTGAGCCCAAGCCGGGCCCGCACATCACTAGCTATGTGAAAGGGCGCTGACATCGGTGCGCAGCCCGCGGTCAAGATCCTGTCGTCCTTCCGCCACGGACAGGCTAGAAGAGGCGTGCGCCGCGGTGCGCGGGCTCGTCTCGGTCGGTGGCGAGCACGCGCAGACGCTGTGTCGCACACCAGAGGGGCAAATACGCCCAGTACGCGTGAGCCAGGCGCAAAACATGTGCCACTGGATGTTCATTCCGTTCTACTTCGTTCTACATCAGGCGGGTGGACGTGTGTGGGTATACAATTTGTTTTGCTACAGAGTGCTGGGAAAGCGTACACCGGAACCATGGCGTGCATTAGAGTACAACTGGCGTATCCTAAAACCCAAAATTACTAATAAAATAAAATTCATGTTATGTCTCTACCAGCAAGCCCAGACGCCATCGTCGCCACCGGGGCAACGCGTGGCCCTGAGGGCCGTACCCGCAGCGCGTGCCGGTCGTCAGGCACGGGGCGGCGCGCGGGGTGGTAGTAGCGGCGGAGCCTCGCGAGCGGCTGCATCTCGTGCTGCTCTGCGCTGCTGCTCGTGGAAGACGACGACGCGTCGGACGAGTGCGGAGCGTGCCCGGCACTGTTGTCATTGCCAACGCCATTGCCGATACTGTTGTGATTATCACCGCTATCGCCGCCTGCCGCCACGGCCGCGGTGGCAGCGGCAGCGCGCGCGAGGTGTCGCTGCTGCTGGCGCTGCCGTTTTGCGCACCGCGGGGTACTTGTACAGCGCCGCGAGAAGCTCCAAAGCGAGACGAGGCAGACAC